TATAAAATTTATTTATAAATCTTAAGACTCACATTTCTCTTCAATAAACTTATGTGCTCCGATAAAAGGCGCCACTGTCCAAATTCATTTATTAAATCTTTATTAGGATTTGAAGGAAATTTTGATAATAATAATAATTAATAATCCTTGGATAAATCGTTTGCTTGAAATAATTAAACGTGCCTTTTTAGATCGGACGCGATCAACTCCGATCCTCAGTTGGCGTTCGAGTTGTTTGAGTTCTTTTATCCCTAATGATGAAAGATCTTCTCCAGCCAAATGCCTTAATCCCAACAAAATTGTTATATTTCCTGGTAATAATATATTAATGTAATGAAATGAATTCATAATTATATATCTATTATTATATATATACTTGTGTTTTGTTTCAAGTATCTCGATTGTCTTCTTCATCTCATCCATTTCGTTCTTCCATACCTGTACCAGATCCATTTCTTTTCTAATAAAAAAACAATCTTTAAATCAAATATATCATTTTTAACCTACATGTGATCATCTTCTTGAATGGCATATACAAGACTATGATACCTCGATGGTTCTTACTCCATGGTTGTTCATTTTATGCAGACCCTTTTCGTTTCTGTACCTCCTGATAGTCATATCCATGCTGCAACATACCATCAATCACCATACACACATACATACATACAGAGAGAGAGAGAGAGAGAGAGAGAGAGAGAGAGAGAGAGAGAGTACTCATGGCTGGAGAAGTGATAAGCTTTGCCAGAAGGAGAGAAGACAAGAAGAGCAACCTCAGCATCACAGAGAATGGACAGTTCAATGGCTTTTTTGAGCAAACCATCTCTTCTCTTGGAGAAGGTGACTTGCCTATTTGTTGGATTCTCTATTCTCTTAAGCTCTACTTTCCCCCTTCCCATTTTCTGTTGAATTTTGTCTTCTTCACTTTCTTGTAGTATATATTACCCACTTAATGACGTGATTATACTAATGTAAAATTAAATCAAAATTTATCTTTTTTGCCGACTGAATGTACATGGACATGACATCGGTGCTTTTTTTTCTTCCACTTGATAGTTGATAATGTACCTACCACTGTGGTCTGTGAGATGGTTTTATTTTTTGTGTTGTAGTGGTGTAAGTGGTTCTATTTTATAAAAAAGTTTATCACTTATCTATTTGTTTTCGGTTATGTAGGGTTGTTTGGATGCACATCGTTTATCTTTATTGTTAGGGGTATTTATGAGATGATTTGATTTGGGTATAGAATAAAACCGAATCATAACCTTTACAATCGGCTAATGCATTTCGATCGCCATGGGTTATTGATTCGAATTGGTTTTGATTAATAGTTTTCGGTATCTATTAATCATAATGCTCCAAAATTAGATAAACATTAATGAGAATATTGCAATTAAAAATGGAAAACATAAATAAAAAAAAAATAATAATAATAATAATAAAAATCATTGCTATAAAAGTGAAAATCAAATAGTATGTTGTTATAAAAAGCAAAAAAATGAAAGTTCATTGCAATTTGTTAAATATTATAGTGATAAATTCTAACTTTTTAGCATCTCATATTCTCTTCAATTTCAATTTCTTATTTAATTAAAATAATTACCTCGTGTACATATACATATTTTTAAATTTTTTATGTATTCATTACATATAGTAGTCCGGTTAGGTTGTGTGTGGGGCCTATTTATAATTAAACTGAAACCGAGTCATTTACATTAGGTTAATGGAAATCAAAAACCGCACCACCATTCTCAGTAATGGTTCATGTATAATGAATCAGTTATATTAGTAAATTCAATTTCGTTTTTCATTTTGTATGTGTTAGACTGTTAGTACCGATAATATAGTTAGAAGGGTATTTTAGTCTTTTCCACTGTATTTTGTTATGAGAAGTTAGTTTGTTAGCTTAGTCTGTTACGTTTCTTTTCATGTATATATGATAGAATGATTAGAGAAGTAAATTAATAAAGAAAGTCATCTTTTTCATATTCCATTGTTATTCTTACATTGCAACTCTGAAATCTAACATGGTATCAGATTAGGGTTTCTTTATTCTTCATACTCTGCTCATCATGCCTCAATCAACACCTAATTCCACAAATGCAATCGATTCTTCTGATCCTTTTTACATCAGTACATCTGATAATCCTGGTTAAATTCTTGTATCCAATGCATTTACTGGTGTTGGATTTGCTTCATGGAAGCGATCTATGACAATTTCGTTATCAGCTAAGAACAAAATCGGATTTATTGATGGTTCGATTGTTGTTCCTGCGATCACTTCTTCATCTTATTCATCTTGGCATCGTGCTAATTCTATGGTAGTTAGCTAGATTCTCAATTCCTTATCCAAGAACATTGCTGATAGCGTTCTCTTCTTGTCTACTGCTCATGAGATTTGGAAGCAATTGTCTCAACGCTATGAACAGTCTGATGGAGCTTTGATATATCAAATTCATCAACAACTCTATTCTCTATCACAAGGATCTGATGATTTCTGTTCTTACTTCACAAAATTGACACGGATTTGGGATGAATTAAGCATGGTTCAATCAATTCCTGTTTGCTCCTGTGGAGCTTCAACTGCTATCATCAAATATTTTGAAGAACATAAGTTAATTCAACTGCTCATGGGACTTGATGATTCTTATAAAATTGTTCGAGGACAAATACTAATGATGAAGCCTCTCCCTACTATTTCAACTGCATATTCACTCATCCTTCAAGAAGAGCGCCAAAGAGGTATCACTATCAATTCTGGTATAACATCTGAATCAATTGCCATGCATGTGTCAACTGATCAATCTGCTCTTAAGAAGACTCTTGTATGCAATCACTGTAAGAAACCGGGACATACAAAGGCTCAATGCTATCGTCTTAATGGATTTCCTACTAATTTCAAGTTTACAAAATCCAAAAAGGACGACTCCAAGACTGTTGGCTCTTCTTCCAATAGCAGTTCTAATGCTTCTATTTCTCAAGATCAATATCATCACTTGCTTCAACTGTTGAACAACAGTCATATCAGTTCTTCATCAACCAGTCAAGCAAATAATGTCAATCTTACTAGTGATTCAAAGAATCCTAAAGGTACTTTCTCATTCAAGAAATTCGCAGCTAATGTCTATAAGTCTGCTAATTCTTTACACACTCATTTTTCTTGGATTGTGGACTCAGGAGCCACAGATCATATGTGCTCCAGTAAGTCTTTTTTCTCCTCTTTGACCAAATTATCTCAACCACAGTTTATTGGATTACCAAATGGCAATGATGCTTCTGTATCATTTATTGGTACTGTCAAACTTCATGATTCTATTGTTCTTGAAGGAGTATTATACGTTCCTTGTGTTAAGTATAATCTCATTTCCATCCCAAAACTCACTTCTCAGTTAAACACCTTTGTTCTGTTTACTGATCACAATTGTATGTTGCAGGACCCTTTGTCAAAGAATAAACTCGCTCTTGGTGTTTTTGGCAAAAAAGTTCATGATTTGTATGTTTTTGATCACAAATCTATTCAGCAAAGCCTATCTTTTTGTTTTTCTACTGTTAAACATTTGTTCAATAATCAAGGGTCTGTAATTGATAAAGTTTCATTCTCTATGTTATGGCATAGGAGATTTGGTCACATTCCTTTGTACAAACTTTCTCAATTGTCTTTGGTTAATTCTAAATCTCATGATGCTTCAATAGAATCTTGTGATATATGCTTCAAAGCTAAACATCATCGTTTACCCTTTCCTACTAGTGTGTCATCTTCTATAGAAATTTTTGATTTGGTTCATATTGATGTTTGGGAACCATACAAACATATTTCTTATGATGGGTATAAATTTTTTGTGACCATTGTTGATGATTTTAGCAAACATACTTGGGTTCACGTGATTACACACAAAGGCTATGTTCTTGATGTCATAAAACAGTTTGTGATCTTTATCAAAACTCAACTTCATAAAGTAATCAAGATTATAAGAACAGATAATGCTTATGAACTGGGGTCAAGAAAAGAAGGCATTACTTTTTATCAATCAATGGGGATAATTCATCAAAAATCAACACCATTTACCCTTCAACAAAATGGAATTGTTGAGAGGAAACAAAGGCACATCCTTGAAGTTTCACGCGCTTTATACTTTCAATCTGGTATAGGCAATAGTTATTGGACCGAATGTGTCAGGACTGCAGTCTATCTTATCAACAGAATTCCTTCACAAAATCTACACAACAAAAGACCTTTTGAGCTGTTGAATAACAAGGTTGCTGATTTGTCTCATCTCAAAGCTTTTGGTTGCTTGTGCTTTGTTACCACTTCAGTTGTTCACAGAGATAAATTTATGCCACGTGCTCATCCTCGCATTCTTCTTGGATACCCTTTACATCAGAAGGCATACAAGGTTCTCAATTTGGTAACCAAGAATGTGCACATTGCTAGAGATGTCAAGTTTTTTGATGAGATATTTCCTTTACACTCTCTTTCAACTTCACCAATTTCAAATACCCAATCTCATTTTCCACTTAACTCTCAAGATACCTCTACTTCTTTTGTATAAAATAACCCGAATCCATCTAATTCTTCATAGAATGACGATATTAGCCCTGCTCCCAATCCACCAGTTATCCATGATTCTGTTCCTACTTCTCGTCCTTCAAGAACTAGGCAACCTCCTTCACACTTAAAAGATTATATATGCAATGTTGTTGATGATTCATCTCATGTTTTTTGCCACACCATCACCAATCTTTGCATTCCTCACAATTCGGTTGATCAACCTCTTCTCAATTCAACACATCCCATTCAAGTCTTCAATGTTACAACATCAATAGTTGAACCTGCTTTCTTTCATGAAGCTAAAGGCAATCCTAATTGGGAGGATGCTATGCAACAAGAATTGGTTGCTCTTGATGCTAATCGAACATGGGATATTGTCAAATTACCCAAAGGAAAGAAACCAATTTCTTGTAGATGGGTCTACAAACTTAAATACAAATCTGATGGTTCTATTGACAGGTATAAAGCCCGGTTTGTTGCTAAAGGTTTTACTCAAAAACCAAGAATAGATTATCCCGAGACTTTTTCTCCAGTTGTCAAGCTCAACACCATCAGATGTCTTGTTTCTTTGGCTGTTAAAAGAGGGTGGGACATTCAACAACTCGATGTTAACAATGCTTTCCTTCACGGAGATTTACACGAAGATGTTTATATGAAGATGCCACCTGGTCATTCCATCACAAAACCCAATCTTGTTTGCAAACTTCGTAAGTCTCTATACGACTTGAAACAAGCATCACGACAATGGTATGCAAAATTATCTCACGCTTTACAAGTTCAAGGATTTGTCTCATCTTTGAATGATTACTCTCTCTTTTTAAAGAAGACTCAAGATACACTTGTTATAGTTGCTGTATATGTTGATGACATATTAGTTACCGGTAACAATCCTCAAGAAATTTCAACTCTGAAATCATTTCTTCATGATCAATTCCGCATTAAAGATTTGGGGACCATTCACTGTTTTCTTGGTTTACAATTTGATAAGGTTGATCAAGGAATGGCTATACATCAACAAAAATACATTAAAGAGTTGTTACATTCATATTCTATAGTTGATGTTCCTTCGGTATCTACACCATTGCCACATAATACCACATTTACTACCACAGAAAAACTCACTGATCCTACAAGTTATCGAAAGTTGGTTGGAAAGTTGAATTTCCTTTTATACACAAGACCAGACCTTTCATTTGCAGTACAATTCTTGAGTCAACACAACCAATCTCCAACTATAGAGCATTACAATGCTGCTTTACATGTGTTACGCTATCTAAAAGGAACTCTTAGTCAAAGTCTTTTATTCAACAGCAGTTCCAATTATGCCCTTGAAGCATATTGTGATTCCGATTGGGCTTCATGTCCT